GGAACATAAACTGTTTTGGGGTGGACTATCCCTTTAATTATATTTCTGTCATGACAACTCTCGGAGGAATTGGCATGGTAATGTACATGACAATGTTAATGTATTTGGTCTTGGCCTAATAGATCTGCTCAAATACCGAGACTTGCTTATGCCAATACATCCACAACATGCAGCTGTGAGCATGTAAGAAATATTGCTGCTGCAAATATAACATATATGAAATAACCCCCATATAGCATACATGAATCACCTCATAGCAGATCTATACAGGTGGAGCTGGGGAAGGTGGAGGGTTTCTGAAGCAAGCTGCAACTGCTACGGCAAGCACTAGTCATATATTTGAATGTTGAACAGCGAGCTCATTGGCTACCGATACAGGAGAGAACCAATCAGCTGTGCCATGTGATAATGATGTCATTAGGTCAGATTGAGTTAGACCTATCGGACTGCGCCATCTAGAGTTTCATGCCAGAACTCTGTATTTAAATGTCCTAAATTGAACAACAAGCTAATAGGGTCCCTCATAGAAAATAAAACAGCTAATATAATATTTATTTTGATGAACAACATGTTTTGAAGGTTAAGTATCTCGTTTGAGTGAGCATTTGTAGAAAAAGGAAACTAATACAGTACTTCAGACCCATTTTGAATCCTATTTGTGGAAATTGCCTAGCGCCCAAACGTCTGTTTTCCCCTCCTGGCTCTTGCTTGTCAAGGCCCATCAATGCTGCTGTGGACCCATAACTACACCTGAGGCCCTCCTTTCTTCCTCTGTACACTTCTATCCCTCTCTCTTTCCTGTCAGACCTTCTCCATCTTTGATTCCCCACTTCGCCCAGCAGATGTCTAGATCTTAAGTTGCACTCCTGCGGTTGGCGAGCTGGCAGACGTGCGTCTCGCGTGCCTGGTTCCTTCGAGCCCTGTTGGGAAATGCGCCTACCTGGGCGGCTCTGTAATTTTGTTTTCTCTTCGCTTCTTTCATATGAGCGCACTTACATCCACGCAGCAAGGTCAAGCGGGTCTGGAGAACTTGCATGACTCTACATCTGCAGGATTAAATGCATTTACCGCCTCCGTTCAGACGAAGAGGGTGAGTTTGAGAACTGGAGAAAGGAGAGATTTGCCGTGAAGGACCAAAATAAATATGTCAGACATCTTGCCATCTGCACGAGGGGCATTCCAAAGGGACTAATTAGCCAGCCGTGGTGGGCTGGATTGCTCGTTTGAAAGTGATTCGCTCTTCTTGGGGAAAACAGGTGGAGGAGTGTTTTTTTTCCTTCACTCGCTTTATTGCATTTGAGTGGTTTGGCAATTGCACTTTTACTCATAATGCTTGTTCTTCTTTGAATATTTTATAAAATGCCTTCATTGGTGTCTTTAATGCTGTCAATCAGCTGCTGTCGTTGGTGTCCCTTAGGTGTGTAGTGTTTTACACATATTGGAGCGAGATGATGAGTCAGGGGAGAAACCGCTTAATAACTTGTTGGTTCTTTCCTCCCTCTGGTTTATGTGTTTATATGCTTTAAAAGTGAGTCATACTGCCTTAGAGGTAGCAGAGAATTGTGGGTCCACAAAGGAAAGATGGGGTTTGGATCATTTTAAAAGTATACCATGCTTATTTCTTCAGTATTTTAGTCTGTGTAGTGTATTATTATTATAATTTAAAATAGCTATTTTCTATTTGAATATATTTTAGAATGTAATTTTTTCATGTGATGGCAAAGCTGAATTTTCAGCATCATTACTCCAGTCTTCAGTGTCACATGATCCTTCAGAAATCATTCTAATATGCTGATTTGCTGCTCAAGAAATATTTTGTATTATATCAATGTTGAAAACAGTTGTGCTGCTTTATATTTTTGTGTAATCTTGACAAAAACAAAATGACAGCATTTGTTTGAAATAAAACTTTTGTAACAGTTTGTATTGTCTTAGCGGTCGCTTTTGATCAATTTAATGCATCCTTGCTAAATAAAAGTTTTAATTTCTTAGAAAAAAAGCTTACCGACCCCAAACCTTTCAACAATATTGTATACATTTACTGTTTATGCATTGTATATTATGTATACTATGCACAGTATGCTAATTATTGTACTACTGTTTGAAACGTTTACTGTTGCGTAATGTATGGCTTCACATATTATTTTTTATGTTAAACACCTTACAGCATATAATGCATAGTATTTTATTTGAACATAGCCATAATGACCAAATGAATAACAAGATACCTCGATCATACCCATAATTAGACCATGTGTTTTGAAGCAGAGGATTTGATTGGATGACATGGGGGGCTTGTCAAAAACTACATTGTTTGTTTCTTAACACGTTAAAATGCAATTGAAGGTTTGCTCTGCCCTTAAACCAAAACATGTCCACTCAGGAAAGGGCTGTTGCACACTTCGGTTTGTTAAAAAAAAACAAAAAACATTCTGACCTCTTTGGCTCCTATTTACCCATGTCTCTCTTCAATCAATACGCGCAAGCCCTTTGGGTGCATGCAGGGCGACGTCAGCTATTTACAGTGTGTGTGTGTTTTCAATACCTCAACTCCAGTGACTTGTCAACGACCTCATAAGCTCATGAACCCCATCGGCTTTGTGCGGTTATTGCAGGCAGAGAGGCTAATTGTGCGTATGAGCGGGAGGAAGAAAGCACGAGGGAAAGAGAGAAAGAAAAGACGTCGGCTTGATGAATGATGCTTATGAGGCTCTGACAATGTGTGCAAAGACTTGCGTTTTATAATCAAGTTTAAAAAAGCACAGATTTCATTTTTTTGTGTACTTCACTGTTATTGTTTCTCTTAGAAGTTTAGAGTCTGATGTAGTTTTGTTAAAGACATGAATGTTACCTCAGATTGTGTGGCTTGTTAAGGAGAGCTGTGCTGTTACTCAGACTTGACAGTTTACACCTGGCAAACGATTAACAGCATTCTAAAAGAAATCTGCCTTATCAACTGCATAACAACACCCTAGCAACCACCCAGAACACCCTACATTGTGGCAGTCAGTTTTACATGTGTAAGCACCTCTGTAGAAATCTAGTTCTACTATATACAGTATGTATATATTGATGTAGTGTTCATTAATATGTTTAAAGTCTTTTTTTGGCTTGCAAAATGCAACTCAGATTTCCTCAAATCCAATAGTACTGATTCATAAAACACCTGCCTTAATCAAATCCTCAAATTGGGTTATTCACATGCTTCTGCTGCGGCCACAAAAACCAAACCAGTGTTCTTTTAGCGTAGAGTAATGAAGGACAAAGAAACCTCCAGAGTCAGACTGAATACTGAACATATGCATGAAAGCCTAACAGTCTCTGCCAAACATGCAGGCTCACAGCCCCTCATATGAAGCCCACCTTTGCTGTAATTTGAGGAGGGATGCTGGCAAAAGACATGAAAAGATGGCTGTGATACTGCTTGTCCTCCCTCTACAAGTAGAACACAAGCTTGGCGTGGCGGCACGATGATTGCTTTTGTGTGTTCTGGTCTCTCCGGACCCCTCAAAGACAGAGAGGGAATTACTGGCCCGCAGCCTCTGATAGTATATCAAGATTACTGCGTTTTCCAGACAAGAGCGGACCACCGCCAAAGAGCAAGATTGTGTCACTCGCTAACGCATTTGAAGGATGGCTGATATTTGAGGAAATTAATGGCTGTTTGGAATCGTGTCTGCAGTGTTCTAAACGATCTCGCTTTTTGAGGATTTATGGATCATGTTGTGTTTTGGAGTCATTCGTTTGACTGACTATGCTGACTGTATTTCAGAATAAAATGCGATATTTGGTCTGACATTTACATGGTAAATGGGCTATTTTCTGGATGTTTGAGCCAATTAGAGGAAACTGTAAAATGTTTTGTTTGGCAAATAGGGTAAAATGAGAATGTTTCCCTTCAGATAAGTGGCATGGTGTTACATTAAAGTGAACTAGAAATCAAAATTGCCGTTTCATGACCTTTTGTTACACATGCCCTGATAATTTACACAATATGAGGTAAGTTGTCACAGTGACAGGTTAACAGGTTTTTCAGTTAAATTTTGGACTGTAATAAAATTGATGAAACAATGAAAATGTAAATGTAACATTCAGAAATATTAAACCACTGTTTTGGCTATCAAAACAGTGATTTGTGATTAATAAATTGAATAATGAATTATATAATTAAAAAATGTATCTGACAACCTTCCCCAATATAAGACTGTACGAAAAATTATCCAGATGGGTTTTTCTGAAAAAACAAACAAACAAACAAACAAAAAAAACATGAAATTGGATTTTTTCAAATCTGATTCAAACTACATTTAGATTTAAATCAGAATTTTACACATGCATCTCATTCTAGATGCTCTGGCTTCTCAAATCAGATTTTAAGTCGTCTTTTGCATCACTTTTAACGCAACACACAATGATATCATCAAAACCGGTGACGGAAATGCCAGAAGTATTCATACAGTATTCAGACGAAGCCGAAATCAGAACATTACAATATATACCAGTCTCCTTTGTCGCTGTTTTTTTCTGGAGTTCTGCACCGGGACTCAACAGGTGCTTATTTGGTGATTGCGATGATGCCTCTCTATTTTTCCTGCATCTGTTTTGAAAGCCTCATCAAAAAATGTGGGAGCACCTGCATCATAACCAAAGCAGTCCATGCTGATAAGTTGGTTATGTCTGGACACATAAATCTGATTTTATCACTTGCACTTTAGTAATACGGACAGTCTGACTGAAAAGCTCTGATTTAAGAAAAAATATTCATTTGCCTGCAGTCTGAATACAGCCTATGTGACAACTAGCCCCCGTTTCCATCATATCAAGCACTATAGTATTACCATTTGATAGGATTACTAAACCATAGTACTTATATCCATGTGTTTGATAGTATTTAAGATAAATTAGTTGTTTACTGACTGTTATTTCCCATATGTCAATGAATCATATGTTAATTTCTTCTCTTAAGTATAAACACGGATGGTTTGTGTGTGTGTCTGTAGGATGCGGGAGCGGGAGCTGCAGCGTGTGGGCAGGAGATTGCTGCTGTTGGGCATCTGTCTGCTGACTCTCTGGGGTCAGCTGAGTCTGGCCTCAACACATCGCAGCCATATTGGTGAGTTGCATACAAACATATACACATTAACTTTAATGGGAAGCATTAGCGGAAACAGATTATCAGTTGAGATTTTGCCCACTCGGCTCCTGTGTTTAGCGTTGAATGAGCTTGACCTCCAGTTTCTGAAGTCCATTTTTCCTGGAAATTCATAGACAGTATTTGCTGTTTGTTGTACTAGGGTTTTAACAACCTTGTGCTGCTCATTTTCAAAACGACCCACTTGATCTTGTGGATAAATGATGTTCCATTTGGCTTTACCTTGAATAAAAACAAACAAAAAGATCTGTACTTGTTTTCTCATGTTGGAGATGCAGGAAGAATCTGTTGAATATCCATATGCTGCTCTTTTTAAGCTCCAGAGACTTTTTCGAGGTCTCGATTATGGTCCTTTCTTTCAGATTTCTTTCAGAGAATTAAAGGGGTCATATGACGTTGCTAAAAAAATAACATTATTTTGTGTATTTGGTGTAATTAAATGTTTATGCGGTTTAAGGTTCAAAAAAGACATTATTTTCCACATACTGTACATTATTGTTTCTCCTCTATGCCCCGCCTTTCTGAAACGC